TTTACATGAAACTTGGTCAAGATGTTTAGTTCACAAAAATACACACTGAGGTCAAAAGTCAAGGTCAAAGGTCAAGGTCATTATGTTCAAAGGTCAAGCTAAAATTTTGCATCTTTTCACTGATGAACATTTTCTTATCTATCTATCTATCTATCTATCTATCTATGTGTTATACTCCACAGAAACCAAAATGGCTTTAATGTTATGACAAGATGAAGCAAAGTTAATCAGAATTAAACAAGGAATCAACTGACCAAAGGTCAAGATCACTTGGTCAAAGGTCAAGGTCAAATTTTGTAGCTTTTCCCTGATGAACATTTCGTTATGACACTTTGAAGCAATGTTGGTCGGAATTAAACAAGGAGTCATTTGACCAAAGGTCAAGGTCACTGGGTCAAAGGTGAAGAGTAAATTTAGTATCTTTTAACTGGTGTACATTAAGTTATGACACTTTGAAGCGATGTTGGTCGGAATTAAAGAAGGAGTCATTTGACCAAGGTCAAGGTCAAGTTTTGTATTTTTCACTGATGAACATTTGTTTATGATATTATGAAGCATAGCTGGTCGGAATTAAAGAATGAGTCAACTGACCAAAGATCAGGGTCACTTGGTTAAAGGTCAAGGTCATTTGGGTCCAAAGATCATAGACAAAGTGGATCTCTGACTTTGACCCTGGCTCTTGATGGGGGAGCTATTTAAGGTGAAATAAAACAGATCAAAGCTAATAAATGAGTATTGCACCGGTAGTTACATTTCTGTTAGCCCAGCAAATATGGAGGTGGAAGGAAACAAGACTCACATCATAGTACATGTAAAATGTATATTTTGCTTCCTTGCAATTCTTTTTGAAGTCCAAATGTCAAACATCAAGCTCAGCTTTATGGGCAGATTGCTTCTTGATGATTATGGGGGACATATTGCCACAAGACGGGGCCCTTACTGACCTGTAAGTGTTCTAGTTATGATGAAAAACCCTTATAATTTATGTGTTCATCTCACACTTCGTAGGCCCTTATTAAGTACATCAAGTCACTGAACATCCCCGGAGCTATCCTCATCTTTCTGCCAGGCTGGAATCTCATTTTTGCTCTCCACAAACACCTGGAGATGCACTCTGAATTTGGTAAGCTAGTAACTGTTGAAAATTGATTAAAAATGTGGATGAACATGATGTTTGTTTCAAAGGCGGATAAGCTAACTGTTTTATTGATAAATAATGATTAAACTTAATATGTTATTAAAGATAGAAAAAGTGTACTTATTGCTTCTTTCTGACGAAGCCCTCTGGCAGGCGAAACTGGTCAGCATGTAATATAAATATATAATTAAAAGTAAAAAGAGCACCGCTAACTGTGGACGTCAGGTTGTGTTGTGATGGCACCTCCATGTTAATATTGTTTCTTTCATGACAGAAATACTCAATATCTGGTATAGCTTTTGTTATGTTATCCTGCTTTTGCCGGTTTGATGAGATATAGACAAAAGCCTGAGATCAATGTTTTCCGTTTGATGATAAAAAAAGTATGGGGTAATTGTTTTGTACTGCAAAGTAAATTATTACTGCTCTATAGTGAAGGGATGTTGTGTAATGTAAACCTTGTCCTAACAGTTTGAGCTTTCGGTTGTACGTCATGTCGTTTCTGTTACAGGAGGCCGTCAGTACTGTCTGTTACCACTCCACTCCCAGATCCCTAGAGATGAACAGAGGAGAGTCTTTGAACCTGTCCCTGATGGTGTCACAAAGGTACTACACGATATTGAATGTGATCAGTTAAAACGTTCTGAGCACAGATTGCAAATTAATCTTTTAGATCCAAATGTATTGTAATAAAACATCATTTCGATTTTTATTTCTTTCCTTTTTTATGACCCTAGGGAGCACAACCAACAGTTAGAACAATTTGAATTCTCTAATACTTTTACAAGGAAAAGATTCAGAAAGTTGTTGTCATGTGTGTGTACTAATGTTTTGCAGATCATACTGTCGACCAACATAGCTGAAACTAGTGTCACCATAAACGATGTTGTCTATGTTATCGACTCATGCAAGTAAGTTTGACAGATTTTAGTTCTTGGAAATCAAAGCAATGCTTTCTGAATAATACAAAAATTGTGTTTATTACAAGGAGAATACAGAGTTAGATATAGTCTAACCTAGACATAACTATCTCTGTAAAAACCTCTAGGTAAAAATCTATAATGCAAACTTTTTTTATATATAAATTAGGGCAAACTCATTAATAAAACAAGAGGAATTTTGAAACATATATCGGAGTGTTACCATCGTTTGAATGACACTTTCTTGATGCTTTTCTGCTATTATCCAGAGCTAAGATGAAGCTGTTCACATCCCACAACAACATGACAAACTACGCTACAGTGTGGGCATCCAAAACCAACCTCGAGCAGAGACGGGGAAGGGCAGGTCGTGTGAGGGCTGGCTTTGCATTTCATCTTTGTAGTCGTTCAAGATACGAAAAGTAAGTAATCCCAACCCTATTACTGTAGCAATATTCTCTATGGGAATGAAGGCAGATTTTTTATCAGTACTGCTTCTTCTAATATAAATTTGTCTGAACATTATTTTAAAACTGTTATAAATATTTTGATGAAACCTAAGTATACCTTCATCAGCCAAAGAAAATGCATAGTACGTTATAATAATGTCACTATGACCTTCACATCTAGGTCAAAAGTCCGGTACACTTTCTAAGGTGAAATCTTGTCTGGGCTGTAAATTTCAAACCGTTTAAGATATCTTTATGAAACTTAAACAATGCTTGAAATATTCTTATTGGCTAATAAGAAGAGACAAGCTTTTGTTCACAAAAACAAATCTAGTTGAAAATTCTGGTTAGGTTTTAAAAAAGATAGATCATGGATACTATTTATGATTCATCATTTTGACTGAAAGAGAGAAACAGAGACCAGTAGTTGTGATAATCACTTGTGGGAAAACTAAATTGTTTCAAGTAGGCTTCATGCATCAACAAAAAATATAGTCAGGGTGTTATAGTTATGAATTGAAGAGAGAAATATGCCCTTTGATAGACGGTTGTACTGTTCACCTATGTTCTAGGTTGGATCAGCATACCACCCCGGAGATCTTCAGGACACCCCTTCATGAGTTGGCCCTGTCTATCAAGCTGCTGCGCTTGGGTCCCATTGGTCCATTTATGGCCAAGGCTGTAGAACCGCCCCCTATTGATGCTGTCATAGAAGCTGAGGCTCTGCTCAAAGGTGAGGGGTAACTTATTTTCTGTTAGGATTGCATAATATAGACTTGAATCATGTCACAATAATGGCCTTAATATGTTAGAATTTTGAACAAATAGTTGTGTCGAAGTGATTTGAAAAATATATGCTATCAGAAAATAAGAAAAAAATCAGTAATATTATATACATTTCAGAAATGCGAGCTCTAGATTCCAATGATGAGCTGACTCCTCTTGGTAAAATCCTGGCCAAACTTCCAATTGAGCCAAGGCTGGGCAAGATGATCATCTATGGCTGTCTCTTCTAGTGAGTAACCAAACTACGAGGTTAATAGACATGGTGTAACCAAGGGTGTGAAGGTGACACTTACGTTTGTAACCAGGGGTGTGAAGGTGACACTTACGTTTGTAACCAGGAGTGTGGAGGTGACACGTTTGTAACCAAGGGTGTGAAGGTGACACTTACGTTTGTAACCAGGAGTGTGGAGATGACACTTACATTGTAACCAGGGGTGTGAAGGTTACACTTACATTGTAACCAGGGGTGTGAAGGTGGCACTTACATTGTAACCAGGGGTGTGGAGGTGACACTTACATTGTAACCAAGGGTGTGAAGGTGACACTTACATTGTAACCAAGGGTGTGAAGGTGACACTTACATTGTAACCAGGGGTATGAAGGTGACACTTACATTGTAACCAGGGGTATGAAGGTGACACTTACATTGTAACCAGGGGAGTGAAGGTGACACTTACATTGTAACCAGGGGAGTGAAGGTGACACTTACATTGTAACCAGGGGTATGAAGGTGACACTTACATTGTAACCAGGGGTGTGAACGTGACACTTACATTGTAACCAAGGGTGTGAAGGTGACACTTACGTTTGTAACCAGGGGTGTGAAGGTGACACTTACATTGTAACCAAGGGTGTGAAGGTGACACTTACATTGTAACCAGGGGTGTGAAAGTGGCACTTACATTGTAACCAGGGGTGTGGAGGGGACACTTACATTGTAACCAGGGGTGTGGAGGTGATACTTTCATTGTAACCAGGGGTGTGGAGGTGACACTTACATTGTAACCAGGGGTGTGAAGGTGACACTTACATTGTAACCAGGGGTGGTGACACTTACATTGTAACAAAGAAAGAGCTAATCAGAGCTATCTGAAATTCAAATTGTGGCTCCACAGTTACTTTAGATTACTTCTTTCAATGTTTATGTCTTTGTGTATTTTAAACTTGATTGCATGATGAGAATTTTTTTTTTTTTGAAATTTACTCATAGTAAATATTATATTAGAGGCCTTATAGTGTACAAACTTCTTGCTCTATCTAAAATACCTTATGAATAAGGCATAATAATATATTTTTAGCTGTGGAGATGCTGTATGTACTATAGCGGCCAGTACAACTTTCCCAGAGCCGTTCATCACTCCTACAGACCGACGCAGATTGGGTTGGGTCCACAAGTCCCTTGCTGGCAACAGGTGTAGTGACCATGTGGCACTCCTTAACGCCTTAAATCTGTGGGAGGAGGCCAGGTAAGGGTACAGGTGTAGTGACCATGTGGCACGCCTTAACGCTTTAATTCTGTGGGAGGAGGCCAGGTAAGTGTACAGGAGTAGTGGCCTTATAGTGTACAAACTTCTTGCTCTATCTAAAATACCTTATGAATAAGGCATAATAATATATTTTTAGCTGTGGAGATGCTGTATGTACTATAGCGGCCAGTACAACTTTCCCAGAGCCGTTCACCACTCCTACAGACCGACGCAGATTGGGTTGGGTCCACAAGTCTCTTGCTGGCAACAGGTGTAGTGACCATGTGGCCCTCCTTAACGCCTTAAATCTGTGGGAGGAGGCCAGGTAAGGGTACAGGTGTAGTGACCATGTGGCAATCCTTAATGCTTTAAATCTGTTGGAGAAGGCCAGGTAAGTGTACAGGTGTAGTGGCCTTATAGTGTACAAACTTCTTGCTCTATCTAAAATACCTTATGAATAAGGCATAATAATATATTTTTAGCTGTGGAGATGCTGTATGTACTATAGCGGCCAGTACAACTTTCCCAGATCCGTTCATCACTCCTACAGACCGACGCAGATTGGGTTGGGTCCACAAGTCCCTTGCTGTCAACAGGTGTAGTGACCATGTGGCACTCCTTAGCACTTTAAATCTGTGGGAGGAGGCCAGGTAAGAGTACAGGTGTAGTGACCATGTGGCCCTCCTTAACGCCTTAAATCTGTGGGAGGAGGCCAGGTAAGGGTACAGGTGTAGTGACCATGTGGCACGCCTTAACGCTTTAATTCTGTGGGAGGAGGCCAGGTAAGTGTACAGGAGTAGTGGCCTTATAGTGTACAAACTTCTTGCTCTATCTAAAATACCTTATGAATAAGGCATAATAATATATTTTTAGCTGTGGAGATGCTGTATGTACTATAGCGGCCAGTACAACTTTCCCAGAGCCGTTCACCACTCCTACAGACCGACGCAGATTGGGTTGGGTCCACAAGTCCCTTGCTGTCAACAGGTGTAGTGACCATGTGGCACTCCTTAGCACTTTAAATCTGTGGGAGGAGGCCAGGTAAGTGTACAGGTGGAGTGACCATGTGGCACTCCTTAACGCATTAAATCTGCGGGAGGAGGCCAGGGAAGTGTACAGGTGTAGTGACCATGTAGCACTCCTTAACACTTCAAATCTATGGGAGGAGGCCAGGTAAGTGTACAGGTGTAGTAGACATGTGGTACTCCTTAACTCTTTAAATCTGTGGAGGAGGCCAGGTAAGTGTACAGGTATAGTCATCATGTGGCACTCCTTAACTCTTTAAATCACTATAGCGGCCAGTACAACTTTCCCAGAGCCGTTCACCACTCCTACAGACCGACGCAGATTGGGTTGGGTCCCCAAGTCCCTTGCTGGCAACAGGTGTAGTGGCCATGTGGCACTCCTTAACGCTTTAAGTCTGTGGGAGGAGGCCAGGTAAGTGTACAGGAGTAGTGGCCTTATAGTGTACAAACTTCTTGCTCTATCTAAAATACCTTATGAATAAGGCATAATAATATATTTTTAGCTGTGGAGATGCTGTATGTACTATAGCGGCCAGTACAACTTTCCCAGATCCGTTCATCACTCCTACAGACCGACGCAGATTGGGTTGGGTCCACAAGTCCCTTGCTGGCAACAGGTGTAGTGGCCATGTGGCACTCCTTAACGCCTTAAATCTGTGGGAGGAGGCCAGGTAAGTGTACAGGGGTAGTGACCATGTGGCACTCCTTAACGCTTTAAATCGATGGGAGGAGGCCAGGTAAGTGTACAGGTATAGTGACCATGTGGCCCTCCTTAACGCCTTAAATCTGTGGGAGGAGGCCAGGTAAGTGTACGGGTGTAGTAGACACATGACTCTCACCTGTTTTATTTTAACGAGGCCGCACTCCTTAACTCTTTAAATCTGTGGAGGAGGCCAGGTAAGTGTACAGGGGTAGTGACCATGTGGCACTCCTTAACGCCTTTAATCTGTTAGAGGAGGCCAGGTAAGTGTACAGGTGTAGTAGACACGTGACTCTCACCTGTTTTATTTTAACGAGGCCGCACTCCTTAACTCTTTAAATCTGTGGTAGGAGGCCAGGTAAGTGTACAGGGGTAGGGACCATGTGGCACTCCTTAACTCTTTAAACCTGTGTTAGGAGACCAGGTAAGTGTACAGGTGTAGTGACAATGTGGCACTCCTTAACTCTTTAAATCTGTGGAGGAGGCCAGGTAAGTGTACAGGAGTAGTGGCCTTATAGTGTACAAACTTCTTGCTCTATCTAAAATACCTTATGAATAAGGCATAATAATATATTTTTAGCTGTGGAGATGCTGTATGTACTATAGCGGCCAGTACAACTTTCCCAGATCCGTTCATCACTCCTACAGACCGACGCAGATTGGGATGGGTCCACAAGTCCCTTGCTGGCAACAGGTGTAGTGGCCATGTGGCACTCCTTAACGCTTTAAATCTATGGGAGGAGGCCAGGTAAGGGTACAGGTGTAGTGACCATGTGGCACGCCTTAACGCTTTAATTCTGTGGGAGGAGGCCAGGTAAGTGTACGGGTGTAGTAGACACATGACTCTCACCTGTTTTATTTTAACGAGGCCGCACTCCTTAACTCTTTAAATCTGTGTGAGGAGGCAAGGAAAGTGTACAGGTGTAGTAGACACATGACTCTCACCTGTTTTATTTTAAGGTAAGTGTACAGGTGTAGTGACCATGTGACACTCCTTAACGCTTTAAATCTATGGGAGGAGGCCAGGTAAGTGTACAGGTGTAGTAGACACATGACTCTCACCTGTTTTATTTTAACGAGGCCGGTTAAGTTTACAAGTTGTACAGGGTGTTTACTGTCTGAATGGGATAACTGGGGATAATATATTTCAGCATTTCTAGAATAAAGGGCCCTGAGGCATCTTTATCCACCTTGGCATTGATTTAATTTTTTGTTTTAGTTATTGAAATTCATAGCATGCAGCATTTGTACTAGAATGCTAATATTGGACATTGAGGTTCCCTAGGCATCCAACATTGATTGATGCATTGCAGTCAGGATAGAAAATGGAAATCAATTTTTGCAAATTTTGACCCAAATTTTCATAAAACTGTGTTAAAGAATGTCTCTGGAAAAAAGTGCTCAAATGACTTCTTTACAGTGTTAATAGTATTAAGTTGTCTACATACTATTGAATAAAGTACACCTAATATTTACATACAACTTACAGCTTTCAGAGGCGGTGATCTATATATTCGGAATGAGATTCATCACTTTGGTACAAACAATGAATGTTAAGTTTGCTATGAAGTTTTCAATTACTGTTTGTGTTCAAAACAAAGTTAGCATTTGTTATACTGTATAGTGTGTATATATGTTAACATTTTAAGAAGCAAACATAAAAGGAACATAAAACGTGATTTATGTAAAGGTACAATAGAATCAATGTTGTATAAAGCTACTGTAGAAACAATGTTGTATAAAGCTACTGTAGAAACAATGCTGTATAAAGGTACAGTAGAAACAATGTTGTATAAAGCTACTGTAGAAACAATGTTGTATAAAGGTACTGTAGAAACAGTGTTGTATAAAGCTACATGTACTGTAGAAACAATGTTGTATAAAGGTACTGTAGAAACAATGTTGTATAAAGGTACAGTAGAAACAATGTTGTATAAAGCTACTGTAGAAACAATGTTGTATAAAGGTACTGTAGAAACAATGTTGTATAAAGGTACAGTAGAATCAATGTTGTATAAAGCTACTGTAGAAACAATGTTGTATAAAGCTATTGTAGAAACAATGTTGTACAAAGCTACTGTAGAAACAGTGTTGTATAAAGCTACTGTAGAAACAATGTTGTATAAAGCTACTGTAGAAACAATGTTGTATAAAGCTATTGTAGAAACAATGTTGTATAAAGCTACTGTAGAAACAGTGTTTTATAAAGCTACAGTAGAAACAATGTTGTATAAAGGTACAGTAGAAACAGTGTTGTATAAAGCTACTGTAGAAACAATGTTGTATAAAGCTACTGTAGAATTGACCTGATATTTACAGGATGGGTGGAGAACAGAATGAGATCTATTTCTGTGAACAGAAGTCTCTGTCTATGCCTACACTCAGAATGACCTCAGAGGCAAAGGTAGGTTAACAGATGGTTCTTGAGAGCATATATTGAAAGATTCTTATAAGCCAGGGACCAGAACCTGACTGTCGGAATACAAGACATCTGTTGATAGATATTAATATTGGAATGACTTTCTGTCTGAAGAGATGGATTAGTTTTTAGGTGGTAAGACATGTAAGATTTTTAGAAATTTCAGTTTTCTGTAATACGAAACTATTTTGAAGATTTTGGATATCAATTTTTTAAAGCGAAAAATATCAATAATATTTTTATCATTATGCTGTATATCAATCTTTTCTATGCGTAAATTCACAATATCTTTTCTCAAGATACTACATGTTGATGTGCTGTGTTTTGCAGTGTCAGCTGCGAGATATCCTCATCAACTCTGGATTCCCAGAGGAATGTCTACTACCCCAGGTGTACAACTATAATGGACCAGACAGCAACCTTGATATGGTTTGTCTCCAGCCTTATATAAATACATTTGACCACTTAGCTTCTGTAGTGGTTGTCAAACACTAGATGATGATGATGATGGTGCTGTTAAACAGTCCATCACTATGTGAAAATGACCAACAATCCCATGTGAACTTAATACATGTACAGTGATTCGTCATGGCAAGAGGATGAACGTAATGACATTCAAGGTCATGAATAAAAGTTAAAACTTTTTGTAGTTGCACCATTTCATAATTCTAAATGGCTTAATTAGTCCCTCACCAGTTCCCAGGGGGACTTAAGCTTATCCAGGGCATATTGCATACACTATTTCATCAGATCTTCAGATTGCAGAGTGCTAAGTACAAAAAGTAGGTCACTGTGACCTATGATTTGACCTTTGACCTCGGTAAATAAAGAAGTCATTACTAGTGGAGGACTATGGATTGCCTTGCAATACTTTTCCTTATTTCTTAGTGGTTATTGATTTAACTTAATTGATTTGTCAAGAATGACAATACTTCGAACATGTTTGTGTTTCAAGGTGCTGCAAGGACATGGTCACTAAAACTGCTTCTACTATTTGCAGAAAATCTTGATCACTTAAACAGATTTCTCAACTCTTCTGTCAGATCACTTAAATGTTAAGATTTAGATCTGGAAATGTTAACATTAAAAATGATGTACATGTGGAACAATACAACGAAATTCATTTTCAGAGGAGAAAAAAAGTTCAGAGAGTGATACATAACTAGGTATTGGTCGACAAGATACAAGTTGTATGCTCTTTCACCAGACCAGTCGATTGCGATACTTGATTTAAACTTCAAGATATTAGAATAATAGAAATGATGAAAAATAGATATTTGTTTTCAATCAATTTGTACTTGGGCTACATTTGCGTTCCCGGTTGAAATGGTACGTGTGGCGCAGAATATTCCACGATAAACGAACACACTTGGACCGTTTTATAAGCAGAGCCAAAAATGCACAGTTTCGAAGAATAAAATACAATGTATCAAGAATATTATGCTCTTCTTTCATCCATCCAATGAATTACATAACATATCTTAAAAACTACATGTGACTTGACGTTGTTTTTGAAAGAAATAACGCAAACTAGCAATAGTCAGCATTTTAGTTTCTGTGGGTACGTCTGGACCCCTCAATCTACGGGTCAGCCTCGGTTCAGATCTGTGTCTGTCATTTTCTTTACAGGTTCAACCGTTTCAAACGGATATGCGAATGTACCCTTTCTTAACATTACAAAAACTGAATTTAAGAGAATTCTTTTCAATTAGATCTCAAGATTTGGCTTACACACATTATTACAAGTGTAACAAACTGACTTGCCTTGTTATAGGTGGTCACTCTACTGTGTATGGGTCTGTACCCCAATGTCTGCTTCCACAAGGACAAGAGGAAGGTACTGACCACAGAGAGTAGGGCTGCCCTAGTCCACAAGTCCTCTGTCAACTGTAACAACTTTGAGTGCAGGTTCCCGTCTCCCTACTTCATCTTTGGAGAAAAGGTAAGGAATTTCCTTCAGATTGTTTACTTTGTTATTAGAAATGAGATATTTCTCTATCATCCTTACAACAATAACGGTCTGTTCCCGATACAAAGTGATAATAATGATGGGGTATATCTTGATATTGTGACTTGTGTATTTACATGAGATCGTGAATGTTGCAGATCCGGACACGAGCTGTGTCATGCAAACAGATGACAATGGTTTCACCTCTCCAGCTGCTGTTGTTTGCTTCTCGCTCAGTCACCTACCATGAAGATCTCATAACTCTGGACAACTGGTAAGTACACAGCTTGCTGCTGTGTAGTGTATGTGATGTACCTTTACACAATGAATTTGACAAAGCCATATGTGACGATGATTAAGGAGAACAGGTTTCAGCTTGTTTTTACGTGCTGATTTCGTCAGTCAGTCTCCGTCAGTCAGTCTCCGTTGTGTCATTATGTCACCTCCATTACAAACACATGATTCCAGGATTGTAATGATGCTTAAAATAGGTATGTTTTGTACACACATGTCAAACATCTTTATTTTTACGATAAAATTGGCAAAGCAGTAAATGTATCTAAAAGTGAATGCATGTAGGCCTGATAACCCAGTAATTTATTTTCTTTTGCCTATACACAATTTTAGTATTTGTGAACACATAAGCCACAAATGACATGCTATTTATGTGGTTTTGATTTATTTTTGTTCAAATATTAAAGGAAGGGTGTCTATAAGGCCCTTTTTTTGGCCCCGGTATATTCAGATTTTCACCTCCTTATTTTGTTCAAAGAACTAAGGGAAAACTTTGATCGAAAGTGGGTTTCTGGAGGTACCAAAAGGCATATGGTAAATCACAAATATAGTTTGCTGTTTTCAAAATGAGCTTAAAAACCAAAATAATCCCATTTCTGTTTTTGAAAACATGTATAAATTAGACAAGCATATGTAACGGAATGAAAAATGACAGAAATTAAATCGTCACTTAAAGATTGTTTAAGAAATAATATGAGTAGCAGCTAGCATTGAATGTAACAAATAAACCGTATGAAATCAACAAAAGGATTAACTGTTAATTGCAAGCATTAACTTGAACAAACAACTTAGTCTCTCTTTGCGTTTTCAAAGCATAAACTATCTGACTTTTGGTCAGTGTAGCATGTCAAACGCCCTCTTACTACTATAAATACTCTACTGATACCAATAACCAGGAAGTGTGGAATTTAGTATGTTTGTAATTAAATGTGCAATGTAACTTATTTTCAAATAGAATTTGACCTATTCTTAGACAATGATCTACTTCAAATTACCATAAAAGTTAATATTTTTGTGAAGAACACTTGATTGAACACTAAATGTCCATCCACAGGATC